CTCATTTTCTAAAAAAAAATCATTTTTTACAAATTTATTTTCAATTATATATTTTTCAATAAAATAATTTTACACGAACTTTGAATTTTTTTTATTTTAAACCATATGTTCACCTAAAATCATTATTTTAAAATGTATTTTTTCCTCAAACGAGGTTCTATCAATGGCCAAATAGAAAGTCCCAAGGAAGGTGTGTGCTTGCATCTGTGCGTGTATGGATTATGTGTGTCAGTGTGTATACATAAAATAATAATGCTGTACGTACATGGCTGTTGGGGGGACAGGATTCTTCCCCTTTCACGTGCAGCACGGTTACATGCACGCCTTTTTATGTACACAATATATACATAATGGTGTGTACGCCTACAGCTGTATGTGCAAGTATATGTGTGTCCATATGTGTACATAAAACAGTATGCTGCACGTACAGGGCCATTAGAGGACAGGATTCTCCCCCACGTGCAGTATGGTTATGCCCCAGTCAATTCATCCCACATCGAGATTGTGTTTAATCCTCTTTTTTTTCTTTATTCTTTCCAATTACATATGGTTTAATAAAATAATATTATGCATAATTCAAATTTTTTTAATTTTTAATCATATATTCTTCATCAATTTACTATTACAAAACACATTCTATACTAAAAATAGGGTTCAAACATGCCCTAACTTTTTCACCGCCCAAAATCAATCCCACCTCGATAAATATTGAATCATGCTATATGTACGGGGTCACATGGACCTTGCGCTATGTGTGTCCATGTGTATACATAAACATAATTACATGCACGCCTTTTTTCACACAATCAATTCATCACATTTAGGATCTGTTTGCTGCCCATGTTATAGGGAACAAAAATTAATTTTTTGAGATTATAGAAACATGTGTCTATATATATATATATTCGTATCGCCCCTTAGCATGCAAGTATAAACTTGTTTTTAATCAAGATTTGACATGATAGTGATACCAACTCAAATCATTTAAATGAAGATGACGAAACTTTATTCATCTAAAGAAAATTATATTGTTACTCCCACCATATTGACATATTCTCTTATCTGCCATACCGTCCATATCCTTCCAAGTTTCAGAACTCCAAATGCTTGTACTTTTTGAAAATATTTATTTTCTATGCAGTATACAATTCGTAAACTTTTGTTTTAGAATTATTATATGTCTCAAAATTATTATTTTAGTATTTAAAGAAATGAAAATGGTGATTTATTTTTTCTTAAAAAACATACCAAACAATTAAAATAATTTTTGATTGTCAAACAATCAAACATTGAATTCTAAAATTAATCCCAAAAGGAATTTAAGTTTAAATTATAGAATCAATGGTGGAATTAGTATGGGGATAGTGGGGCAATTACCTCAACACTCAATTTCAAGTTATTTAAATCTTATTTTAAATTACTTATAGTAATCGATTTTGCTCCCACAATTAAAATTTTGTCAAAATTTTGCTCCCAGGATTTTATTTATAGAAATTTGCCCCCACAACTTTACAATCATAATTCTGCCGCTGAATAGAACCGCTTTATAATTTTTATTGGAAAACCATGTATATATTTATAGCACATTTTTTTAAAAATAAATAATTTACGAGACCGATAATCTTATAAACAATTCATGTATAACTGTATAACCTGTAATCAACAAAGAACTTGTGTAAAATCATGCGTGTTAGGTTCAAATTGTAATTGGCTATTTTCGTGTTCAAAATTATAGTTATTGAGTTGTAATTAAAGTCAAAATAATTGGAGTTGATGGTATAGGTCTTGAAGGAGTCAAAGATCGAATAAGGATAAAAAGTTGTCACAAAACCGCTTGTTAGCTGCGAGCTTGGCACTCGAGCGAAAGGCTTATTGCTCGCTAAGCGAGAAGGCAACGCTCGGCGTATTTATCTGGCCAATTCTAGTTCGCGATTTTCTTCGCACTTTGAAGTTCTATTCAATCTTAAACACTAAAATAACATATATCCAAACCATAATTCGTCCCAAAGTGTGTTAAATCATTATTTCATGTAAAAGATCATATTATTTAAGATCAATTACACATCTAAAGATGTCTTGGTTCAACTATATAATCAAAGCTTCACAATTATTCCCAAATATATTTTGCTATCGGTTGAGCCTACATTTTAGTCAAGAGAACATTCTTTGAAGATTATAAACTTACTCTATCATTCTCTTGCTTCAACTAAAGATCAAAACATAAAAATCATAGATTAAACACCAAATACCCTTATTTTCACCAATAAGCTTTAAAAGTTCTGAAGTTTGGGAAGAGACAACTTGGAGTTCCAGTTGTTCCGATATGAGATTCATTCTTGGGGTTCCACGTGGAGTCTATAGTTCTCGAAAGTCCAAGTTATATAATCGAAGAGGTTCTTCGATTATTTACATGTTGGATGGTCAGAGTATACTCATATTTTAGTTGTGTTTGGACCAACTGTAAGTTATCTTTTTTAGTTGATCTTTTTGACAAAGTTTGCTCGAAAAGTTTTTATCCCTCTCAAGAGATCTTTAAAGGATTTTCCTTCTATTGCTTTTTTATCCCTCTCAATTTTTTGTGTTGATTTACTTTTTCCTTCTATTGCTTTTGATCTACGTTGTGTGATTGTTTAATTAGGACTTACTATGACATTAAACTCAATAATAATCTAGATATAATAATTTGTGATGTGTTGCTTATTATTGTTTTAATTTCGCATGATATACCCTATAGGTGTAGTTGGATATAAACATCCTATTATTTCAATGTGAAATAACATAACAGTCAACATTTTTTTTTATCAATAAATTCTACTCATAGCTAAATCAAAACAAACACATCTTTTCATTAAATTGCAATCCTTTAGCGACAAC